AACAAAAACCAATGCACAGAATTATGTATCTTAGTATAGTTTACTTGTGTGCCAAGTTATATTGAAAACAGACCAAAACTGTAGGAGGAGTAGCATTTTGAAAGCATTTCACAGAAATTTCTATTTTTAGTAACCATGGCAACACCGTTCATCGAAATCAAAACCCGATGCACAGAATTAGGTATCTTAGTGTAGTCTACTTGTGTGCCAAGTTATATTGAAATCGGACCAAAACTAAAGGAGGAGTAGCATTTTGAAAAATTGTTTACAGACAGACAGACAGACGGACGGAGATGGACGCATTACTATCGCATAAGCTCTTCTGGTCTCTGAGTAGTAGAGCTGAAAAACCATATATACTGAGAAATATTGTTTGATATTATGATCAATAAATTATTCTTAACCTTTAAGGCGAACTTAAAAAGAGTTAAATTTTGTATATGTGGTAAAACTTAAAAATACCTATAATCTTGATGAAAAATGTTAATTTTCATTTTTAAGCTAGATTATTTATTTGTATATTATCCGTATCCACAATTGTGATTTCTTACCATTGAAGCAAAAGGAACACTGCCATAAAAAGTACTCCTAGCAGTCTGAATGATTCCATCTGATGATATTAATTGATCACAAATAATGGCCTCTAAAATTGTACAGGAATGTTTGGTGAAACTCCTAAAAAAGAAGTTAGTGACTACAAACGAAAGAAAATTGATGTCTCTGACGATCTGCCATGTCTGCTGCCAGTACAACTCGTGTCCAGTTCTCTCGTGACGCACTTCCTACTGCATTTGCTGCAATTGTTTATACGTTTAGCATGATTTTGCATATCGATTCAACTGAGATACTGTAGACGTACTTTTTTTCCGCATGGGATTAATTTCCGCTATCTACACGAACACAATTTTTCCGCGAAAATTTGTCACAGCTTACTAAAGATTCATTAAGGATATATAATGACAATCAAAGATATCCGAGTACTTTCAAACTCGCGGAATTAATAGAAAATTTTTCCCCGCGGAATTTTGACATCGTGGAATTAATTATAAAAGTATTTTTAAGTATATTAACTCCGTATGCAGGTGATGAAGGTATATTGCTGCATAAGTAAAGGGAGGTTGACGATAAAAAAGTTCAAGTCATTACTTTTATCATAGAGCTTGGATGTTAGAAAACCATTAACGTTTTTGTTTTAAGTAAAGCATCCAAATATGAAACAAATATGTCAGAATCTGTTATATAACCCCGCATTTTTTTGCCCTTTAGTATGTTTCAGTCTTTGAGAAAGGCCGAGGAACAAAACAACATGAATTAGCATGTAAAATTTATATTTGTTTGTATTCTAGCCTCTCATTAGTTGATTTCCTAAAAGAAATTATTCTGTATTATATGGTTTGGTTTGGGGACCATCCCCCCCCCCCTTGACGTTTGATTCATTAATCATTTGTATCCATGAATCTCCTCATTTCCAGTCCTCGGGATTAATGGAAGATTCCAGACTTAGTGTACCTTTAACTTCAAAAGGTAGCCTGATCTTACCTCATGTAAACAAACATCATGGCTGCTAGGTCTATGTATCAGTTATTACCTCCCCTTGCTTCCTATCACTAACGTTACTACTGATGTGTTATTGAGCGGCAAATTGAACTTTGAAAATATTTGAAAATTTTACATCCACAGTTGTTAATTATTTTAAAATTAAATTATATTGATAAGGAATGACTTTAGTTCTTGGCCAAATTATCAAGTATAACCTGGTTTGGGTCAGTAAACGTTTCTTTATTATCCGCTTTGCGATTACTAAACATCACACGCTATAATACAGCTAAAACTACACATTGTACACGATAATACAAATAAAACTACGCATCGTATATTATAATAAATATAGAACTATATATCGTATACAACAATGCATATAAATCTATAATCTGAACACTAAATTACAGACAGTATAAACCTACACATCTTACACTATAATGTGTACAATATTTACATATAATGCAGATTCTTTGGTCAATATGAAACCTTGTCAGAAAATGCATTTGTTATAAAGGGTTTAATTCTGGCATACCTGGGATTTTTTCTTATGTCCTTTTTGCAGATTTGTATTTATTTTTAGAAGGTACCACCATTTTGCTGTTATCGCCATTTAATTTTTTAAATGAATATGACAATTCGACTTTAAAAATCAAATTTGAACCTTTTTTATTACCATAACAATTTGCAAGCATACTTTCCATAGCAATTTGCAAGCATAAATCATATTAAACTCATATAATTGAACAATGAAAATTGTATACTAGCTACTAATTACTTAAGCTCTCTTGTGCTGACATAAGAAATGTTAATAAATGTTTTAGTTGCCTAAATTTTAAGAATATTAATTTGCCTTAGCTTATTATATTGTTAGTATTAATAAATGAGATTTTATTAAACAAAAGCCTTGCGTTTTGCTCTCTCTCTCTCTCTCTCTCTCTCTCTCTCTCTCTCTCTCTCTCTCTCTCTCTCTCTCTCTCTCTCTCTCTCTCTCTCTCTCTCTCTCTCTCTCTCTCTCTCTCTCTCTCTCTCTCTCTCTCTCTCTCTCTCTCTCTCTCTCTCTCTCTCTCTCTCTCTCTCTCTCTCTCTCTCTCTCTCTCTCTCTCTCTCTCTCTCTCTCTCTCTCTCTCTCTCTCTCTCTCTCTCTCTCTCTCTCTCTCTCTCTCTCTCTCTCTCTCTCTCTCTCTCTCTCTCTCTCTCTCTCTCTCTCTCTCTCTCTCTCTCTCTCTCTCTCTCTCTCTCTCTCTCTCTCTCTCTTATACGCACACACACTAACTTTACAAGTATTCCTATGCAGATGTCACTGTAAATCTATTAGACTCATTTGGTGTTTCTGAATTTTGCCTTTCAAGTTCATTTTTTCTTGAATTGCAAATGGTGCACGTGAGCTTTTTATATAATCATCGGACGAAGCTGATGGTCTCTTCTCGGAAGATTATATAAATCCATGGGTCTAAGATTAAATTAGTTGTTGCCATTTCTATGTTAAGCAATTCAAACCTCGGTGTGCCCTTATAAGTTCCAGAAAGATGACCAAGCATATTTATCTACAAATAATACAAAAAAAAATAAAAGTTTTTGTTACATTTCCCTCATTCTAAGTAACAAATGCAATTCATGACAATGAATTATACGAAATTCTTACCAGTATTGGCAGGCTGCATATACTGTAAAGCAACACCACAGAGAAAAGGAAAAGAATTATACGAGTTCCGCGTGTGTTTACGATGGATTTGGAAGACTTTGTCACCTTGCTTTTGAGGATTACTACAATAAGGCTTACATTAGTAACAAAGGTAGTAATCAGTACAAGAAGTCCCACCGAAACATACAGGTAGGAAAATCCTCGATCTGTTGCATCCTGGGACTCAAAATTAACGAAACACCACGAATCCGGATAAAATCGTTTACTGGGTCTTCCCGCCATCAGATGACCAGACGATAGAAAAGCAGATACCACCCAAATACATAATAATATTACGATGCTTCGAGCTTCTTTTGTCAAATACTGGAACTTGTATGGAAATATCAGAGCAAAGAATCGTTCCAGGGACATTGTGCATACGATCATTGCAGAGGCCATTATTGTAAACATTTGAATGACAGCCATATAATCACATACAGTCTGTGAATACTCGAAGTGTGTTGCGTATCTAACGATAGCAAAAGGTAGCGCCAACATCACACCGAAGCCATCTGTCACAGCAAGTCCACACACAAAGCGATAAATTGGTAGCCACTGATGCTGCTTCACGGAGCAACACACTATAATGACGGCAATACCATTGCCAGCAACTCCTAGAAGACAAGTACCACGGGAGGTGCAATGGACGGTGACTCAACAAGATCTGATGATGAATTGGAATGTTGATTTTTCATGCTTACAGTGGACGACATTTCGGTGACTCGGTATTTCATAAAGGAACCTGAGGTCAGTTTTAAACCTTTAATGATGATAGATGAGAAGGAAGTAGTTGATGTGAACGTGTCGATGTTTATCTCTTTACATTTCAAAAAAATAATTTCCTGGTTATATGCTCAACCTCAACACATTTTCACGAATTGAATTTTTATTCTTTTTTTTCCTCACTTCTCGTATTTTTATCAGTTTTTACAAATTATGTATTAATGCCTCGTTCTGAAGAGTTCCTGGATTATCATGTTTTATAATATTTTTTGTGCTGGCTCTTCCTCCTCCCCTTGTTACATGATTTGAGCTTACACCTTACATTATATCGCACAGGGAGGAAAAAGGATTGGGTTACATTGTCTGATCATATCATTGTCTTTTTCCATTATTTTGTTCAATAAAATAAATGCATTTCTGAAATATCTATCTTCAACTTTCTAATATTGACCAAGAATAAACATTTTAAAATAGTTTATGCATTGCAATTATCAACATACATTTTTTTAATATGTCTGTACTCAAACTTATATGATTTCGTGGTCCATGAATCGAGTACTGTCAATAATACATAGATATGTAAGTTAACTAATTAAGTGAAAACTCAAAAAATATATTTTCTGTTTCCTGTTCTTAATCATTTTGTTTTAATTTCCAATTCTTGTTTATTTCAGATTCTGTAAAACGACCAGCTTAGTAAATGTATGATACCCAATACAATTGGGTACAAGCACACCAAAGAAAACATGACTCCTTTCAGATCCTCAACTTGTGCCGAATTAAGGGGATTAACGGAGGGGTTGGTCATGTCACCTGTTGATTTTTTAATCTGACTGCACCCATATCTGTTTAAAATGGCGACAACCAACATTGGAGACAATGAAATGGCAGGTTTCACAAACAAAGCATTTGTACCGAACACCATCGATGATATTGGATGCCAGTATTAAATGTAGAAAAAAAAAATAAAATTGTTTTCATTTACTATACATGATAAATACTAATTCTTATCGGTTAAGATTCATTTTATATCCTCCGAGGACTATGGTATGAAAAAACACCTTTTCTCCGAGGACGTAAATTTCTTCCGAGGACTTTTTTTACGTCCTCGGTAAAAAATTCTCTATTTCGTTAGAAAATGTCGAACTAAATCACGTGGTGAAGTTTGGTGAAAGTCCTCTGAAGGTTAGTAACATGTGAATATGTGTTACGTCGTCACACAATTTTATCCCTCTGCCATAACACACTCTGCATATTTCCGACGCGGGTGGGTGCGCGCGCATCCGAATGGAATTTTTTTAATGCGCGCGCATCGGCATGCCGGAAATCATGAAAGGTCTTTGCTCAGCATCATGAGCATGTAAGTATTCATATAATATTTACGTAATACGTTATTTTGATTAATGAACACTAGTGGAAAAAATTGTGTTTGAGAAAAGGAGAGAGTTAACAAATAATTTAAAAGAAACAGAAGTACATGAAATACAATTCAAACTGTTCCACTGTGGGACGTGGAGACGGGTCCTTCGGATGTATGTGACCGTATAGACCGAGGTCCCGTGTCGCAGTAGGTGCTGACACGAAAAAGATCCATGGCATCCCTGCTCAATGGCCCCGAGTGCCAAGTAAAGTACAAAATTTGCAGCTCTCCACCTGAGTGAAAAGTTCTCGAGAGGGATGTTAAACAATGTTAATCAATCCCCCCCCCCCCTCAACAGGACTTGTACTTTCAGGTCACAGGGTGGTAAATGGCACTAAATCAGTAACACTAACCACAGGCACCTAAATTTTTATTTAATCTCCACACCAAATGTTCTTAGACTAATACATACATAAATAAAACATGTTAAATAAAATCAAGGGTTAAAAAACAACATAATCTTTCTGTATTTTATTTTTTCTGATTTTTGTTTGTCAAATAAATAATTTTAGAATTATTGTATTAAAAAGTTTATGTATTAGAGCATTTGGTATGGAGATTAAATTTCCGTGACGTCAGCTGATGGCGATCGAGCCCTGGAACGAAATTTAAGGTTTGCATTAATTTTAGTTGATATCATTATCCATGCGTTGGATTTTAACATTATGAAGAAATGTATAGTGAGAAATATCATATTTGAACCCAGTGCTACACACAATCCAGTTGGCATATCCGATTTATGTGTTAAATTGAAGCCTGTATCAAGGAGGGGGTCAAAATGGTGTTGCACACGGTGACACTTTTTGTATTTATATATATAGAGGGGGTAGAATTTTTTATATTTAGCTTATTTAGCGACTTACTGATAAAAATTCAGGTGCCAGTGCACTAACATGCAAAACATTAATCCAAGGAAGACTGCATCACTAATTAGATTCTTCACTCTGAACACAGGGGCTTGTCACAATTTTTTTTTTCTTTTAATAAAATTACTCTTACTATAAAAATACACAGGGTGTATTTTTATAGTTGGAGTAACTTTATGAAAAGAAGGTAATTTCTTCGTGACAAGCCCCTGTTCTCTGAAGTCAGTCAGTGGACCACTGTGCTTTTACTGGAAAAAATCTATTTTAAGTGTAATGCTAAAGTCGTGGTCTTTTTATAGTTTTGTCAATTTAAACTTTAAAAGACATTTTCATTTCATTTCAAAACTTGCACATATATGACAGATACTTTTTTTCACGACTAATCACTGAACGTATCAATATTGATCAACTAATTAAAAAAAATGTTTAGTCTTGCTTTCGTCATCCTTTCATTAGCGAAGTCTAAAACCAGGACAATATTACATTACATATTAACAAAAAAAATTATCTTACATTCCATCTACTAATTTGCTAATGAAATATTAGATCTGATTGGGATATGATGAATTTTTCATATTGTCATAAATTTATGCTGACAATTTCTGAACAGACACGTCAAAAGCCTATTATACTCTAACTTTTTAATTAAATGTCTTTTGCCGTATGTAGCTTAAATTAGCCTTCTCTCAAATTTATAATTTGGTCTTGAGAAAAGAGAACCAGTTGACTGAGAAAGGCGTGAAGACAGATCTAGCTTGGTGGTGGCAGTGCCTACTGTATACAAGGAAATTTTCGCCCCCTTTTTATTTCTGCCTCTTTCGCCCTCTCCTTGATTGGGTGAATTTAAAATTCAAATTCAAAAGGGCAAATTTAAATTACACCTCAAAATTTCTTATACAGAACTATGGCTCTTGGGCGAATTAAAAATGGGGCAAAATTGTCAACAAGTTCAGAAGAGCGAAAATAACACGGTGTGAAAATACCACTGTATACAGTATTTTGAAAAGGATTATAACTATGACACTTGATCATGAGTTATTGGACTTCATAGTCTGTACAATTTTCAATTTAGGACATGGTTTGCATTATTTACAACGGTGTTGCATGGTAGACATTCTCGGACTGGAGTCCCTGTTTAGGGGAAAGCTAGCTGTAAGTAGTATTGATATATGAAGCTTGTTTATTGTTTTAATTGTGCTTGTATTACAGTATATGTTTAAAATTTCAAACCCTGTATTGATGACTTTGAGAATTTTGAAAATGACATTTAACTTCATTCTGTGGGTCTGACACAACTCTGGTTTTAATTATACAATAATTAAGGATGTTTAAGGGACAAATTGAATATGTCATAATGACTGCATCATCAGCTTAATTTAAGCAATATTTTATTATGTATATAAACATAACAGGATTGGATTCTCTTCCAGTTTGTTATCTCTATATTTCATTTAGGATATTCTAATATGTTGACGGTGCAACTGTTAGGGCGAGCACAGATACTTATCCAGTTTTCATTTAGATTGGGCTTGTCAAACCGCATGTGACGTTCGGTGCGTCTAAGACTCTGAGGTCATATAAAGTCATATACATGTTGCTTACCAAACTGAAGCCTGAACAGGGCTGAGTTTAATGAAGAACCATTTTATTGACTATTTTTCTGCAACAATGTCATTCAATCATGCAAGTTTATAATTCGCTTAACTTTTGCTCTTACTCTTGTGAGAACGTTGCTTTAATAAGCTTTTTTTGTCGAAGTGATGTCCAAATTACTGCGGAAAAAATTCTATGAAATGAATGTGCAGTATTCCGGATTTTCTCTTCACCCAGGCCTTGTCATTAGAGCTCGCAGTGACGAGCATCGCTTCACAACGCTCACTGCACTAACACCGGACTTTTCAGGTCTAGTACAATAGATTAATCTTTGATTTACCAGATTACCTACATAGCTTTATCAGGTTGAGACCACTTACTACCTTATATAGAAGGCAACTATCGACACGTGACAATATCTTCGTCACACCCGTTCACCAATCAAATTAATGAGTCCGAAAGCATGACACTCTTCTACGTGTTTATAAGGCTGAAACGATTCACCGAAATATAGATATTGTTCGATATAATTGCTCGGTTCAATGTTCGATTCACCATCTTGATTTTCAGTTCGATACGTTTTTTATAGTCGGGTTTGGTTAACTCTTTGAAGTAGGTCGGGTTCGACCTTATTTTAATAGTTTGACACACACAAGGGAGAAAAATGGGATGGTAAAGTTTCAGAGCAGGCTGTCACTACTATTAATGATACGAATAAAGTGCTCTTAATCAACAGAACCACAAGTAGTTACAGATGTGCAATTAACAAATTTGTAAATTCAGGCTATTAAAAGTGATAACTTTGCATGTAATACATGAAAAGCACAACCGGTATTTTCCCTTTTTTTGCTATCAAAATCCCAACCAGTGAATATTTTCCAGGTAACATGCTCCTACTGTCAATAAATCTCAATAATTTTCTCCATTTTGCAGTAATATTTGACTTGTTTACTTCCAAAAACGATCATTTTTTTGTAATCCGAATTTCTTCCATTCCTCCGTTTATTGTAAATAAAGGCATATATCTCATTGAATTATTTACGATCACCCAATCAACTGAAAGAGTGCTTTGTGATTCACAAAAAATACATTTCTAGTGTATCTAATAATTTAATATGAAAACAAAAGGAATTTAATTTCATTCTAAATTAGCTAGTGCAAATGATAAGAAAAGGAAAGATCATCAGATATTTTTTTTTAATTCTTTTTTATTTTCTTTCATTATCATCAATTTTATAAGATTTAATTTTAATGATGAGAATTAAACTTTATTATGAAAAAAGAATGACCTTAGAACGCTGACTTATTTCTTTGAAAATCTTCTTCTCTGCTCCTTTTACTTTTTTGAAATACGTTTAAACTTAAATTGTATCGTATTGAAAAAATTAATTAATTTTTTTACAATTAATTTTTTTCAACATTATAGTTTTATTCTAATTTTTGTCCCTATATTTGGGCTAGTAACTTCTTACTTGGGGCTAGTAACTGTAATGCTGCCACTAGCCCATGGGCTAGTACTTGTACATTATATTACATACCCCTGGTAGTATTTCTCTCTATTGTATCACCACCTTTTACTTTTTTGAAATCTGAATATGTTTTCTTTAACCTTATAAATAGTTTCTTTCTTAAATTGTATCGTATTGAAAAAATTGAATTGTGACACAAGTATTGCAATACGTATCGTATCATGGAGGGGGCGTATCGCAGCGATTTTTTTCCACCCATTTGGAAAGGGTCCGGTATCGGTTCAATTGGGAAAAATAACATCGAAGAAAAACAAGGGAGAATTTTCTCTTCTTCATGCAAATGCAACGTATTTTGCGTTTATTCCAACTTAATTACATATTACTGCTTGTTTTAAAGAATAAACAACAAGTACTTATTATTTTTTATATCAACGTCCCTTGTTTTCACATTGTCATGCTTTCAATTTGTCAAAATGTATGACACTACGCTGTCTAACCCACTGCTCCTGCCAAATAACAACTTTCTCTACTTTCGATTTAAGCGGAAGTGAAACAATTAGTCAACTTGTACAAAGTTTCATTTAACAAGAAATACGATGTCGTCGTAATCTTTTGCTTCACAGTTGAATTGGGAATATTTAGCCACAGAATAGGGAAAAACGAACATTTTTTTGGCATTGGGAACGGTGCCGTTTATCGGTACCAGTTTATAAGGAAAAAAAACGCTGTATCGTTTCAGTCCTATGTATTTACGATTCAATGGAGACACATGGTTTTCGTTGGTTTCTGCATAATATTCACTTTGTCACTGGAAAAACCGTAGAGCTTCTTTGTCATTTTTTAAGTCCAAAATTGAAAGATTACATGCCCAAGACATTGCTCCATGCTCACATTTAATATTGGAGTTGTTTTATTATTTATAATATCATTAATAGTTGCTTCGAAAGTTCGAATAATGTGCAAATGCTTTGATGTTTGCATGTACATTAAAAACTTTTCGATAATATATAGGGGTTAAATAATAATAGCGCACCGTTTAATGCTGTCTAAAACTATGTATATCACGTGAGAAAAAAACTCGATGCTTTATCGATACGATAGCAACTTCATGTATGTCTCTTGGAACAATGGTTTAGGCTGATGTATTATAAGTTGATATATAAGCCTTCATAAAGCAAATTTTGTTAATGTGAGCATAGAAATGAAAGATTATACATCATTTTAATAAAAATGTCAATTTTACTCGGACAGTTTAGTCGAATAGTCGGATGCTTTAGTCGAACGATAGTCAAATATTCGTTTAATTTAATTATTTTTTCGTATCAGTTTCACTGTTTGTCTTTTTTAGACTAGTTTACAATATTTAACCTACGCTATCACAATTATACTAGTACAACAAATTTCTGAATTGTAAACATGTACTTAGTGTAATAAAAAGTAACTGTACATCAATATGTATCCAATGCATTTAATTTCATATACATCTGTATTAGCTGCCTGTTTTATCTAAATGCAGGATATCAAACGCCCGTATTTGTCCTTTCTTTACATAACGGTAGTACATGTACCCCATAATCGAAGCCAATTATTACGTGTCCGTCAATGATCTTTGACATGTAAACAATTAAAGAGGGTCTCTTATAAAGACAAAGAAAGAGCGAGAGCTTGGGATAAATTTAAATTATGAAATTTTGAGCAAACAATCAATGATTGTATGAAATTAATATCAGAAAAAGAAAACACGGTTGAATTACTCTCATATAAACTGACCCCGATTTACATGTGTTTACGATTTTGTAATAGCTGTTTACCAGTAATTAATATAATTCTTCCTAAATTGACATGTTTGCCGAACATACATCGACCTACAAATAATTTCCTTTGAACAGTTAAACTATACCCTTAATTTTACATATGAAAATATTGATCTGTAAATAAATGAAATGGGCAAATATAAGTTTATTGCCTTAAATTCAAAATTACTTTCATGAAACAATTTTTTAACGAATAACCGACTAAAGAAATTTTAGTCGATAGTCGGTATGATCGAACGATAGTCGAGTACTCGAATATTCGTTGACATCCCTACATTTTATATATTTCTTCCATAAATCTCAAAAAAGAATTGAAAATAAATTTCCAAGGGACAATTCAAGTTGCCTTTTACATTCAACACAGTACTTGTAGTAGCCCACAATTAGTCAATATATGCAATTAGGCTTAAAATAAAATAAAAAAAATTGGGGGGAAAAAAAAAACACTGAAAATGCACCTGACCCAAACTTTTTTTTAGCTATTTTGTAATTTTATTTTTTTTTCTTCAATTTTTCAGAATATTGAAGCTGTTTCATTTTCAATCATTGACTTTTGTTCTTATCAATCAGTGGTTTATAACAATAATGGAGCTTACTCATGTTTCTTAGGCCTTAAGAAAACATGGAAAAGTTCTAACATTTGTTATCTAACAAAAATCTGAATTTTTTTCAAAAAAAAAAAAAAAAAAAAAGAATGCCTCCTTATAACCTACCCAGTCTAAAAATTATAGGTCAGCAACTGCAAACAAAGAATTTTTAAGCTTGGCCTTGCGACTCATTCATGATTATGATTTTATTTTATTTTATTTTTACAATTTTAATGTTTTTATTATGTTTTAGTTATATATAACAAGTCAAATTTTCTTTGATTGCAAAGGAATATACAGTTAAACCTCGTTATTTGGGACTCAATAAGACTGAAAAAAGAGAGATCTGGGGATTCAAGATTTTCAGGGTAAAATACTTAAAGGTCAAGTACGGTAAAAATAGATCTTATATATTAAATAATGTTTATAATTCATTAAAAGCATTAAATGAAAGTGTATGGTTGTTTTTCTTTTAAAAAAAATCCAGATATAGACGCAAAATACCTGTTCAAATATCGTTATTTATACATGTTATCGACATGGGCGATAGAGTTATCGCTCTTTTTCATGATGTCATTAGAGACAATTGATGTATAGGTGCTATTCTCTAAAACAACCAATAACTGAATAAAGTGACTAGTTTCAATGCTTTACCCTGTTATTGACGTTAATTTCGAAGATATACTTGAGTTTACAGATTTAAATAATTATATATGAGCCCATTACGATGCAATCCGAATATGTTAGGCCTGCTTACATGATATGTCATCAAAGTTAGATCAGTTCCAAGAATAATGAAAGTAAAATGGACAATTTTCCAAGAAGCAATGATTTTTGTATGTTTTATGTATTGAAAATAAATTAAAAACAGATACTCAAAAAAAGTTCAACATGAAAATCGAAACCTTTAGGACGTTATTTTCATATATGTAGAATACATTGTTTTGTCTGTTAGATTACTAATTTATAAACTAGTAGACTCGATGATGAGTATTGATAGTCAGCCGTGTAAACAATTATAAGCAATGTTTAAAACAAGTCAGCAAACTCTGTGGCTGGTTGTGTTTGCTTCAAATTGTACCCCCAATTTCCCGAAAGCTAAATAAAACAAGAGAATCCTGCTATAGACATTACGAAGGCCGTTCAAAACACCGAGCACAGATTTGTTCAGAGTCGAGTTTGATATATATTGTGTATATTATATTTTTAAAGGTTGAGTAAAAATATCTTTGTTGAACAACTGTGTGCTCTATGTTTTCTAATTAAAAGTATTGTGATTTTGAACTTCGTCGCTGTCTTCATTTACATGCAATTAACCTCTATATGACCTGTTTCGAATCACAACAAGCCACGTGGAATCGTGTCGTTACAGGTAAATGCCCTCAGTAAACGTGCTAGCAAGCACTCTGTTGAAATGTACTCAGATCCTGTATCGGTCAGCATTTGGACTTGTTTGGTTGATCTTAATTGTTACAGTGGTTCATGCACATTGCTAGAGTTTTGTGAATAGAAAATTAAATTTGTTGTTGATTGTGAATCTTGAACATATAATTCGTCTTTGAAAGGAATATTATATATCACGGATATTCTTTTTATAGTATCTAATCTAAATGTCTCCGCCCATTAACATGTAACAAAAAAACCTTAGTCTGATGGAGGGGAAAAGTTCCGGCATTTTTTAGCGCAAAGGGTGTTAAAAATCGGCTTGTACTTTTTGATATCTTTAATAATTCATTTTGAAATCATTATGATTTTATTAGAAATACTTTGTTATACACAATGAAATCAAACAAAATACCCATTGCTACTATATACCCAGTAAACCAAGGGTGTAAATAGGGACCACGCTACTATACTTAAGTGGAATACTCCTTTAACAAAAAGTTGAATTTGCAAGAATTTTTTAATCAATATTTTACCTGCCCTTGCGTAGGCATAGGACTCGCCTAATCCAGCCAGATTCTTTAATCAATTGTATCTCCAATTAATTCTACTAGAAAACAACGATATTATGTTTAATTTTTACGCAAGAAAGATGTTATGGTTGTTGCGGATGAATTTCTACAGAGAGGGTGCGTTGAATGACATGTCGAATCACATTTTGGGATAGATTACTGTAAACAAACAATCTTAAAGACGGTAAAATAATAACAAAATAAACACGAATTTCATACAACAAGATCATAAAGATTGACTTTCTTAATCTTAGCTTTACATTTACTATCTTCAATCCAATTTTATCCGAACAACCGATGATATTGACTAGTAATGCCAGCATTACTGTATACTTATCCATTTCCTCCGTTTGTTTACTGCGCCCTATCGTAAGTTGATCGTACTTGTAACAGTAGAGTCATGGTTGTAGTTTAAATGCAATCACTATACAACAGAACAATGCTCTGACAATAGCAATTAATTAGAATAATTTATGAAACCCTTTATAGGTCCTCGATTGACTGAAAAGAAATTAGATTAAGCATGATATTGAGCATGAACATTTCTGGTAATGTTTGGTCAATTCAAACCCTGCCTCATCCGGACCAGGACATAAGACCTTATACTGTATTTGTGTCAAGACTATTGTTTAATTTTATTATTATGTTACCGGAGACACTCGCATGACCTATCAGCAGATCTTTAAAAATTGTTTTTCTTGTTCAACACCATTGAAGCCTTTCAGGCTTTTGATCTTACATATTAATGCTGCTTTTCTCGCCGATTTTCTCCATTCTTCACATGGCTCTTTTGCTATAAGTAGAGGCACACGACTTTTAATACAGACTGGAGATAACTCTTAAACTTTGACCCAAGTTCTTGCTGAATAAAAATACATGAAAATACTTTTAACAGCCAAAAATCAAAATAAAAAACACTAGGGCGGGACACTTTAAGAGGGGCGGGCAGGGATGAGAATCTATAGATAAATTTATCTGGCCAATGTATAGAATTAAGTTTCTTCAAATAACCCCCCTCCCCCACTTTTATATTTAAACTTTTCAATGCTCAACTAATTTTTGCTTTTACTTAGCTTAGTTGCTTTTGTGAGCCATGTGGCCCCTGGGCCTCTTGTTGGTCCAGTTTCTGTTAGTTTGTGTCTGTTGGTTATGATAAAATCAATTGTGCTCTTTCAAAATGATTTATTATGTATAAATTTGACTTTTTTATATAAAGTTGTTGAAGAGGATGAAGATGTGGATTCAGAAAGTAAAGATTTGAGAATGGAGGATGATGATGAGAGTCTTGTTGATAGCTTTGATCATGAAGATAGCCCAGATGAAAGTGTTGTTTGTCCAATTCAACAAAGAGCAGGTAATTTTCAATCCACACAATAAGGCTAGGGGCTGTTTAGGCCTAGATAAATAAATTGTGTGTTTCTGGTTCACAGACCAACCCCTTAATATAGGACTTTCCAGGGGGGAAATGGCAGCATGCTTGCCAATAAAATGTTTAAATGAAATAAAATGTTGTCCCAACCTACCTACCCTATTTTTCTCAGCTGGAATAGAAAACACACTATTTATCTTGGCCTAATGTAATCACCATATTTGTCTGTATAAGGCATTAACATTCAGAAATGAATTATAATTAGTGATGGGAATCAGTAAGAATTTCATAATCGATGATTGGGTTGCTGTAACTAACTAATTATCAATTATAATTGGTTATTTAAAAAGTCTTATCATTTTAAAACAAGTAAAGGTAGGAATGGATAAATGATGGGTACATCTTTTAACCCCAAGGAACCACAAGAAACCCCAAGGAACCACAAAGACACCACAAGGACACCATATATAACATTAATTACACTAAATATGGTTTATTTGCTCTTGTAAATTACAAAAATGTTTTGAGGGGCAAATTAAAGCTTTAATCATCTTAATTGAATTGAACAGAGCAGTATCCAAGTTAAAAATTTTAAAAGTACTAGTAGTATATACTTAGTATACAATTAAGTTCAATCATGTCAATTATGTGTGTATATTTTTTAGGGTGGAAATTTGATAATATTATATGGTGTAAAAAAATAATCCTGCAACTATTTCAATACACAGAACCAATAAAACCTACCTACATAAAATAAACTAGGCTTTAAAGGTACCAAAAAAATACCCTACGGTTCTCTAGAAAATCTCAATGACTTCTTATTTAACTTTAATAAATTTACATGTAAATATATATGGTTTATACTTGCATTTATAAATGACATATATAGTAACTGATTATTGCATATTGTGCAATACACAAAACAAAATGATACCAGGCCAGCACATTTAACCAAAGAATGACTTATGTTACCACAAGGACATCCAAATCATTTGGCCTGAAATGTACCCTAAAAAGTATTCCAAATTACTCGAATGACACACAATTTGACCTTTATAAATCTAAAAATGGTTTATATACTTTTGTAACTGTAACATTGCAACTGTTCATTGCATATTTTAATACACAAACAAAACGATAACAAGAACCCCAAAGGAAACCCTAGGTATCCAAATAATACCCTTAAGTATCCCAATAAATCTGAAACCTCAATGACATCCAGTTCGTTGTTAATAAACAAAGATAGTTTATGTGCATTTCTTAACTACATGTACATTGTTCATAATCTATTTATTGCCTAATTCAACAGTAAATCATCCTAAAAGCAGTATGTATCAGGGCACCTGTATGTATCATGATGTATGGTGATTTAACTAACAAAACTTTATGCCTAAAAAATATAACGCACATACTCTTACATGACTCTGACTTGCATTTCTTTCATGAACTCACAAAAGCTTCATTTAATTTTATTTTTATTATTTCTCCCAACCGCCCCAAAGTTTGGATAAAAAAAAATCCATAAACCAAGAAATCAAAAATATGTGGCCTTAATATGTGATCTGAAAAGTTTACTGGAGTCTTTGGCACAGGTGAGCTAATAAATAGTTATCAACTGTAACTAACAAATGCATTTAAACTATGTTTAGAATTTTTAAAAGTTGAATGAAATGTCATTCTCATTCTGATATTCTGTAGGTACCCTGGCTTATCCTAGTGGTACAGGGGTTTTTTCTTTGGTAATGGGTATTGACTTTTGATTTGTGTATTGAAATACACAGTGTAGTTGAATAATACATAAACATTTTATACATCTCACTCTGAACTATACCTGCATAATTTTTCTGAAATAAGTGATTTCAATTTAGATTTTTTAGTTTTTTATCTTATTAATTAATTGGCTGAGTAGTGCTACCTTTTTAAGACAATTCATGGCTTAATTGCCCTTAATAAACTTTTTTTTGTAATTTACAAGTGCATATAAACCATATTTAGAGTAATTAATGTTATATATGGTGTCCTTGTGGTTCCTTGTGGTGTCTTTGTGGTTCCTTGGGGTTCCTTGTGGTACCTTGGGGTTCTTGTGGTTAAAACACGTACCCATAAATGACTACTTTCTAGTATGGTGGTTCAGCTGGTTCTCCATTCATTTTGGAGTAAACCCAGAGTATGCCCATACCCGGGAAAATGCTTTTTTATCCTGGTATAAATGCAATTTCGTGTTTATCTGCACCGTTACCTTTCACTAAATAGTTAATGGCTATTGTGTGGTGGCTGGAAAATTTGGCTAAAGATTACCAGGGTATTATGCTTATAAAATAAATTAATAAACCGATTAATCAGAATTTTAAAAATGCAATCGAGCACTTGGATTATGCAAGCAATCTACTGATTTTTCGATTATAATCGATGATTGGAACACAACTAGCCACAATGGAACACATTTGAGGTTATTTTCCCACTTGTATGAAAGGCTTCAAAATTGCATTTATTAGCTGTTCTGAAACATCATATGAACTACAAATGTCAGTCATTATATTAATTTCACATTGTAGTTAACTTTTGAATGATATCTCAACATTGTTTATTTTATTTTAGAGAAATCGCTGAAAGCAAAACCAAAACGAGTTCCATGGACAGACACGGAGAAAAAAAAGCTGTGAAGTCTGAGCTTGGACACTTTATAAGTAAACTAAAGGTTCCTGGCAAGCTGGAGTGTGATAAAAAGAGAAAAGAACTTTCCAGGAGAACGTGGAAGGATGTAAAGAACTTTGTGCACAATTCTATACAAACTGTAAAGAGGAAGTACCATTTTAAGGACTAAACTTAAAGGTTAAAGTTTTTGGTGCACTGAATTTTCTGAAACTTTGTAGGTATCTCATACATAATGTGTAGATTTGTATATTACCGAGAAATTTTGATTCCATTAGGCCTTATTAATCTAGAAATGTCAGCCCAATTTAATTTGTTACAAAGAAAGCTTTGAATGTTGTTATATGCAAGAAGTTTTGATATGATGATTTTTTTGCAAATTATGCCCCTTTTTAAATGTATTATACTGTGTATTTAAAGTGCACCATGTCACGCATTGTCAAGTTTCAGGGGAGCATGGGCTATGTAAGCTTACTCACTTTTTATTTCATGTATATAGTATGTGCAAGCCTTCAAATGAAATCTACTGTGTATTGGTTAAGAAAATTACTTGCATTACATGTAACATGATATGTATTTTCACATGATGTTATAACCCCAACAAACAATGTTTGGAATTGATCTTTGATTAGTATTTGTCCATTTTTGACAGTTCTAGTATTTGTTATGATGTATGATACAATTATGGAACGTAACATTGAAAGTTTACTGTTCAAATTAAATTATATGCTAAAAATGAATTTGTAATGTCATATTTGTTATGATACAGTATTTTTCTATTGTAATGTATGCTTAATAATTATACTAAAGAGAAAATTATATATGGATGAAATAAAAGATGAAGTACTGTACATGTATTTGCAATTTATCTTTTGTATAAAATTTATTAGGGCCCCGCCCTGCAGTGATCAGTCTGTCTGTCCGTCTAAGATCTCTTGTCTGGAGCATATCTTCTCTCTTCTTGGGCACCATCTGGCTCATACTTTACCCTCAGAGTGTCTTTGGGTTAAAGGGTTTGCAGTGAACTTGAACCATGGTTTCTAGTTTAAGGTTAAGGTCATACAGATATCAAAAATCCTTGTCCAGAGTATATGGTCTCACCCCCTTTGTCCAGTGGGTCTCATACCTCACACAGATTGCCAATGGTCAATGGATGTGTAGTGACCTTGAACCAAGTTTCTAGATCAAGGTAAAAAATAGTAACAACCAAGCTCTATCATGAATGTGATGACTTTTACTTTTCTATCGTCAACTTCCCTTACTATGCAGCAATATACCTTCATCACCTGCATTCGGAGTTTATATATCTCTGTTGGTTCGATACGCAAGAGCATGCTCTACGTATGAACAATTTCTAAAATGAGGTAAATAACTGACAAACAAGTTGATGAAACAATATCAGCAGTCTCGTTAAAAGTCATCATTTCGTAAGTTCTATGGTCGATACAATGACCTTGTCAGCAAATGCATTTTATCATTGAGTCTAATGATGTCTGACGTTTTTCATACTAATTGTTAGTCCATTAATTATACACTGAATTGACGACGGATTTTTCCGTTATTTCCTGATCATGATAAGGAGCACACGGCGGGTGTGACCGGTCAGCAGGGGATGCTCACTCCTCCATGGCACCTGATCCCACCTCTGGTGTTTTTGAGGTCCGTGTTTGCTCTGGTCCTGTTTTTTTTTTAAATTGTTTTATGGACTTTTGATATTGAATACTGTTCGTTATCTCCATGTGTTTCATCTGTTTAAATTCTTTTCTCACTCCTTGGCCCACTCTGACTCATACTTCAACACGAGAGTGGCTTTAGGTAAAGGGTTTGCAGTGACCTTGAACCATGTTTCTAAGGTTAAGGTCATAACATAATTATATGAAAAATCCTTGTCCGAAGCATATCTTCTCTACCCTTGCTCCAATGTGGCTCGTACTTCACTCACAGAGTGCAAATGGTCACTGGATGTGCAGTAACCATGAACAAAGTTCTAGATTTAAAATCTTTGTTCAGTGCTTAATTTCTTTCCCTGAAGACTCAGCCTAAAACTTTACCAATTGATTTAGAGTACGGAACATTTGTGATTTTCCTTCCATATTTTGATAGAGGTCATGCAAGAGGGTATGCAACGTTCGTGATCTTTGTGCCGTTTTTTGATATAGTTCGTTTCATCATACAAATATTTTTCTAAAAAAAAATTTAATTTTGTTTTTTTTCAGGTAGTAGTTACTTTTAGTCCCCTTTAGGCTCAAACAACACATCCCGTAATATAGCTGGAGAACTGTAGCTCTCTGCTTGAAAAATTCAGACAGACAAAGCAAAGAGCTATATGTACAGATCCAAGGATTGTAAAAACCTTCGATTAACGCCGCCGCTTTTTTGTCGCTCACTTGAGGTATTATTTCTTATATTTTAGGCTTTCCCCAGCTTTAAAAATGAAATCCGATAATTAACCTTATATGTTTCCTCCTATTCTTAATTTATAAATTTACCTTTCAACGGTTCAAGAAGGACTGTTTGTTGTTATGGACGTAGAAATGGGAATCTTTTAAATCGACATTCCAAAAACCACGAAGGACTGTTTCGGACCGTTGAAAGGTAAATAAAGAATCAATAATTAGAGTAAAATGCATGATTAATTATTGGATACCATTCTCAAAGCGAAGGTAAGCATTTACTACAAGAAATAATACCTGAAGTGAGCGACAAAAAAGCAGCGGCGTGGAGATATTTTTCCGCGTGGCGATTATTTAAACAATAAAATGCATTTTGTTTGTTGTTACTGGAATTAACGGTCGCAGCTGTTGCAGAAAAAAAATTACATAACCCGCTGACGTGTTTTCATCTAGAGCACGTGCGTATACTTTATGGAAAATCTCAACAATTTGCCAATATTTCACAAAGATTGATATATATGTCCTGAAATAGCATACACGCACCCAAGAAGGCAAACATATTTTTCCCCATACATGAATTGGCGTAGGAAACAAATTAAAAGGGGGGGGCTAAGTGAAGGAGAAAAAAAAATAGGATTAGGATCAAACTTTTTTCAGTACCAAATTTTTGTCCCAAGCACTACCACTTACTTTTTTTAACCTAAACTATAATGTGTCTGTTGAAAGTGGGGGAGGGGGGCTAAACCTACGCCTCCATGTTCAATGCCTACATTATGTCTATCTTTGCAAAAAAGTTAGGGGTGGGGCTAGCCCCCCCCCCCTTTCCGGTTCCGAACAAAAGAACTTTCATCATATAATCAAGGCACGTAATCCCCCCCCCCCCCCAAAAAAAAACACCTATTCCTTTTTCCGCATATTAAACGCACACAAAAAGACAGCATTTTTGTTGCAGCAGAAAAATCTTGTTATTTTGATATTTGGCAAACTTTTCTAGACGAAAAAGGTGAATTTTTATTTATTTGCTCGCCAAATTTTTAAAATAAAATTTGAAAGCTCTCATTCTCTCTCTCTCTCTCTCTGAAATGATGCTACGTATCTTTAATTAAATCGACTATCAAAATGTAATAGCTTATTCCATTTTTAGGGAATTTATCATTAGTCAAATTTCAAAGTAGAAAAAAGTAGCAGAAATCAATATTCATAGAATGTACGCCAGTTAATTCAATTGTTTTAATTGTCCATGTACTTTCGGCAACTTGGTGGGTAGTGAATTAATAAAAAACACAACAACAACAACCCTGAGCTGCTTCCAAGATGTATAGCGGCTACAAAGTGCAATGTAGACGCATAGAGACCGTTCACGGTCTTTTCTTTATCGTTCATTTGGTTTCGATTTTGGGTTTTTATTACTTTCCCCCCCCCCCCCCCCCCGCTTGAAAAGTTGGAGGGTATATAGTGATCGGGATGTCCCGTCAGTGTGTACATCCGTCCGTCCTTCTGTTACACTTTGGGGTACCTTTCTCTTATCCGCAACTCCTCATATACCACTGAATGAAATTTATTGAGACTTTCACAAATTCTTGGTTTCATAGTGCCGTTGTGCTACTCCTAGTTTTACTTTCAGCATTGAAAGGCCGATATCAGCTCTTAATTATTTTATATGAATTTTTTTTATTTTTTCAAAGAAAGTGAAATAATCTATTTATATCCAAATAAGTTGAAACCATGGTTTAAAAAGGTTGACTCAGAGATCTTTAAAATAAAAAGTTGGTGTGGCATTCCGCCTTAATTTAGTGCACATGAAATGTGGTGAAAAAGTTTTATGCTCTTTGAACTCTTTTACCTATAGACTTAGTGCTAAATGTACATGTCTGCATATATGTATAAATATTTTTATTACTTAACTATTTAGTTATATTCAATTATTTTGTTAAAAAATACATTTAAAATTCCAGTTTCTTTTACTTAGAAAACATTGAATTGCCGCACAGGTAAATTCAGGAAAAGAAAAAAAAGTTATGTAGGAAATGAAAACAAAAAATGCCGGAAATGAAATAAAAAAAATGTCGGAAATGCTATCCTTATTTCCGGAAATGAAATGCAGCGCCTCGGTTATGTTAGAGTTTGTCAATCAGGATTGGATGAAACATTTACCCCATGTTTACAGAATTTTAATTCTATGATTATTGCAGGGACGTATCAACGGGGGGTGGGGTGCCCCCTCCCACTTTCCCCCAACATTACCTCTGCTATAGAAAAATGTTCATTGAAAGGATGGTTCCCCCCTCCCACTTTTTACCATAGTATAGTGATTTCAAGGAATTGTAGGAAAATGTAGGATAAAAATTGGAAGTGAAAGTAACTTAGCTTTGAAAAATTTGGCCACCCCCCCCCCTTTCTCCCCAATTGTCTGGTTGACCCCCCACTTTCAAAAACGATGCTACGTGTCTGTATTGTGCGTATTTTGTTAACATTTAAACATTCTGTATTAATATTCTATTATATTAATGTTCAATATTTTTATTTAAATAAAAGTGTTTTAATAACTACGCAGAAACGCACGACTTTCATATCAAATAACCGGCCGCCTTCTGGCGGCCTGTAACAATCCATACAAGAAATTTTATCTTCAAAGAAAAATTAACGCAGTTTAACATACACCTCATAACCCCGAAATAGTGAGTACATGTAATTTATATGTTTATTAAAAATACAAGAAACGAAATTAATATCGCCGCCATTTGTTAGAAGAGGAGGAGTGCTATTGAGAACAATTTTTAAAACATAGCCGAAAATCCAATTTTTAAAACAAATTTGATGAAAAAATTAAGATTTTTGGAATGTAGATTTTATAAGTACTTTTACTTGAGGTACGTTGCTGAATATTGATTAAATATGACAGAAATTTCAAATATGGTTGAAGAAAATCATCAGGACTGAAATTTTACATAAAGAATCCATTAATTTGATACGTGCACAATTTTTAAAGAAGTACCTCGTTTCGTCTGTATGGATGAATTAAGCTTCATTTCTGATATATTCCTTTGTAAAAAATAATATAGTCTTACTTATTATTACACTAGTTCCCACTATCAAAGATACACGAGATAGACGAATTCATATAAAAGTTAAAAATTGTCTCTGGTAAATAATTTTGGGTTCAGAGAATTTACAGATTTCTTTAAAGTAATGTTAAAATCAGTTACGCCGTGATCAGCTGGATTTTTGGGAAATGTCAATAAACGCGATAATACGGCGGAATGCTGCTGGATTGTCAATTTACCTGCAATTATTTTCTTTCAATGAATTACAGTACCTGCTGATGACGAACAGCCCCACTGACCTAAGAAACCCTTAAAGTAATTCGGTAATAGGTCCCAGGCGAGAGCCAACATGGAGGTTAGTTTAGTTTGTTGATTTTAAAGGTTTGTTCCCATCTCGCCTTAACTGTAAAATTT